ACCCGAAAGGGAAGCGGCGAGTGGGAAGTCAGTACAATGGTGACATGGAGGAGATTGTGTGAAGAGGAGTTGAAAGAGTATGGACTAACATGTATAGCAGAAGACAGAAGCAAATGGAGACGTGCAGTTGAAGCCCTATGTTCCACTGTGAACCCACGGGAGCAACATATAATAGTAATAATAATCACAGGTCCTTATAAGTTTTACATCTTTACTCTGACTAGTAATACCTTGGAAACTGGCGGAGTCAGAACTGTCCTCTGAGAGTGTAACTCTCCTCTGTGACACTCTGCTCAATAATGGCTTGCTGTTTGCAACTACAAGCTTCTTAACCGCACCATTATCGTCACACAATTCGGGGTCACACCTTGACTTCACATTTAGCTTACCACTAAACTTGGTCACTTCTTCACAGTTCGCCTTTTTATGCACTACTTACAAACGTGTAAAACACAACCGTGTTTATCTCGCAACTTGTAACCTATCTGTTGGGGATGTCCCACGAAACCTGTTATACTCACTATGTTTATATGGATTAATAGACACCATTTTTGTTTACCCATCTCTCACCAAATGTGTAAACCAAAAACCAAATGGACTCCATCTCAATCTCAAGGAAGTGGAGGTGCAGATACACCATAACGCTTTCTTGATATTCACTTCTCTGAGACCCTTTCGTCATAAATTTATGCGTTTTGCTCTCAGACTTCTCTATTCTAGGGGTGGGATACAGTGTACTGGCAATTTTACTTATAGATTGATTGGCACTATCTTTTACCAGTTTCAGAATATCATCAAGCTTTGGCCCAGTACCTTCATCTTCAATACGAGAGCTTATCTTCACCCACTTTCTTTGCAGTCGAGTAGGTAGACGTCTCACTATTACCTCTAGGACTGAACTTGAGTTCAGATCGCTCATGCAATTCATCGAAATCAACGTATTCTTGTAAGTCAATAGATTATCCAAAAACTCAGAGAGTGCCTTGGAGTCATCTCTTAATTGACTACCATTACCTTTAACAGTCTCGAATACGTCCCTTATATTCATCGAAGTTCTTCCAAACCTTTGACGAAGGATACACATCGCCTCAGTATATCCTTCTTTTGGGGGCGTAAACTTGCAGCACTGTATAGCTCTTGCAGCAACACCAGTGCAGTAACTCAACAAATACATTAACTTCATTTCATCATTTAATAAAAACCACTCAGCATGATCTGAAACTCTTTGATAAACTGTGGATAGTCGGCTAGGTTTTCATCAAAGTACCGAGGCTTGAGTTTGACTAACTTTAAACCCTTACTATCCCTAAACGGCTAACCATGAACAACAGACTCATTGTGCTGAGCATCATACACATCATTACAATTAACAAGCAACTCAGCATTGCTTGCTTTTCTGCCTGCTTCCTAGACGCCTTGTCCCTTCTTTGACCCAGCCATCAATGAACTTGACCAAAAAACCCAGAAAACTTCTAGATAACACTTGTCCAAAGATGACGGGCAAAAACCAGGAAAGACGAATGGAAACTATCAGAAACTGTCAATGTCCAGCTTTTACTACGCTGGACCTCACGCTGTCCCTGAAAGAGTTTCAGAAACAATGTGTAATAACCAACGCGAAAAACCAGAACACAGATTGGTGACTCGAGAATCCTTTATTCTTACGCCAATATGTAGTCAACAATAAGGTTACTATGCACAAGGTCTAAGAATAAATGTTATAACAATAAATCACGATAATACTTCTGATAGTTTTCTGTCTTCCACCGAATAGCGAACGATGACCGGATGACTGCCGTATTGATGACTCCCGCGAAAAATATGGAGGAGTTGGGTTTGAGCAAACAACCATGAATTGTTACTTCAGTCTTCATCTAAATTGGCACCTAGCTTTTGCAATCCTTTTGCTATGGTGGCGTCTGTGTATCTTCTCTCGTTTCTCCATCGTTTTTCAATGCTTCGGTCGGTAATGCTTGTGGTTCTTCCGCTTTCTCCGCCTTACACAGGACTTAAAAATCCTACTTTTGAGGGAGGGTTTCTGCCTAGTGACTAATCTGTGTGTGCTGTACACGGTATTTCCAGACCAGTTACATGTGATGGTCGTTTCAAAGTCACTTGAAATGATCAGCCGATTGTTTCGTTTGTCTCCAGTCTTTGATTCCCTAGACCACCTTTTAATGGTTTAACGTATTTTGATCTCTCACCTGATAGAGACCTGGTAGTCCGATATAATGTTCTGCAGTATCTTTTATCTGCGGACTATTCTGCTTCACTTGCCAGTTTGTCGTATAATTGTCTTTTATCTACTGTCTCGCTCCCCTTCGACTTTCTATTCAGTGCAAAGTACATTGAACTTAGCTATTCCTTCTGCTCTCCATCTTTGTATTGAGTCATCTGCTGTTTCACCATCCTCCTTTCTTCCAGTAGCTTCCAAGTATCCGCTGAAAGTTATTCCTTATCTCGCTTCTTCTTTCCCCCTAAAATGATGGTACACGTTTCCTAGAACGTCACCTGTAAAAAGTCCCATGTTCTTCCACTTTGGTTTCCTCAGTAATGACACGTAGTGTACCCAACTTTGCCATATACTGATCTGTAATGAAGACATCTCTTGTAGTAGTGTCCTTCAGTTTATGAGTACTGAACTTAAAATTGTGGTCTGTCTACAGATTTTTCGAAGGTCTTCAGCTTGGCTCTGAAGATCCCTTCAACTATATATTGATCTGAGTCCACATGCGATCCCCTTCTCCATTTTCTGTCCATCAGATTGCAGTGAGATGAAGTCTGTCAGAATTTTAATGTGTCATCTGGTGAAACTCATATCGCTTTGTACGTATCTTTGGGCTTGTAAACGCTGCTTCCGATCACTAAATCATTGAAGGTGAAGTGTTCCCCATTTTCATTCATTAATCCGAGAGCCTGTAAACCCATGAGGATTTCCCTTTCTGTATTTCGTGCCCCCGGTTCGACCTGCATTCATGCCACCCATAAGAATTTTGATGTCGCCACCTGGGGTGTGGTCCACTGCTGTCTGTAGTTTTCTATAGAAATCTTCCTTCTTCTGTTGTGGGTAATTGTAATCTCACTTCCTTTTGAGTTGAATTTCGCTTTCCTAATCCTGAAGGAGATCGTCCATCATTGCATTGGAGCTTTGGCTGCTGTTTGTGACATCGTGATGATCAGTTTGCTCGTGGTTTGCATTTGGGTGACCGGAGTAAATCACTGACTGTCCACATGACAGTTTACACAACTGCATACATTCCATGTGCACTTCCATACAATATCTTCGCACTTCTGGAGCTGTCTTGAGAGACTTGCCAGTTTCGCACATCGTACAAACATTACACGTCCCAGTTCTTATTTTCTCTCTCATCGAAAAAGGCACATGGACTCACTGACTTGCCGAAGACTTCCACTGGCTTGAGTCTTTTAGCCTCTCCAATTCCAGAGAGGCCTGATTTCTTTAAACATTTTTTCTATTTCAATAATTTTCTTGTGCGTCGAAGTTTCTGTAGCAGTTCGATAGGTTTAGTGGGGTAGGGTCGCTTGCCCTGCACTCAACCCTCCGTTTTTACCTGGGCTCGGTACCGGCTAGAAATGAGCTAGTAAACTGGGAGTGGTTGAGAATAATTCATAATATTTAAGTGAAAATATCACAAATGCAGGTTTTTTTTATAGCCGGGTCACAGTCATCATAAAGCCTACCAACTTCTCTGTCGACAAGACCTGGATCAGTTTCCCTTAGTTGGTAATGGGGTCAGACCGGTTTTTACGGTTTTCACCGTCACTAGATCTTCTGAGAGAATTTGGATATAACCTTTTCATGCAAAGATTGAGATAGCACTCGCTCTACCTAGTCATACCGGACCATTTTACAAGAAGAAACAGAATTTGGAAGTTCCAGCGGCACCACTGTCCTAGTAAATATCACAGGTTCTCCCAAGCATATTAAGATTCAAATTTATTGGTTTAGGATAGAAAGCTTGCAGCATGTGTTGATCCTTTTCTAGTAAATTTCTGTTCTCGTCTTAGCCCTTCTTAAATGAATCAGATGAGGTTGCAGACATCACTTCTTCTGGGAATCGGTTCCAGCAGTTTATGACCCGATGTGAGAACCAGTACTCTGCAGCAATATGGTTTCTCCTTGACTTTTGAACTCTCCTGATATGTGTTCCGACCTGGTAGGAAGAAGAGAGAATAGATCATGTCAGTAGTTATTATTTAAAATGAATGGACCTCCTCTTATGGAGTCCAGCAGCAGAGGGAATAAGTCGCACTAGAATCCGCAGAAGATGTGGAACCATCCCGAAACTAGAAAAACTGAATGCTTGGAAATCTAAAGGTTATACGAGCTAGTAAAAAATTAGACGTTGGATATTGAATATAATAAAAATATTCATTCAGAAATCTATAAAACACAAAATAACTGATCAGAGAATATCCTTTTCGACAATTTCCTCCTCTGGCTCCACAATTATATATATAAGTTTATACACATAAAATATTCTTGAATAGTAGTCAGTAATTGTAATCCCATTTATCTTTAAAAGTCGATATTATTTAAGGAACAATATTGTTATTGACTACCATTCTAGAATATTCTATGAATATAAACATATAAATAGTTGTGGAGCCAGGAGAGGAAATTATCAAAAAAGATATTTTAATAGGCATTTTTATTTTTTTTATTTACAGCTTGATTTTAACTGTATTTTTGGTACAAGTATGGAATTTCCAGCATGGGTACCGGTAGCCCAAATTTTACAGATTGACTATAGACATCAAGTGTGAGTCGGCAGGGGATCGAACCTCGCAGCATGTGCATGGCGGGAGTCCTAACCACTGTTCCACAGACGCACAGTTAAAATGTTTTGAGCCGCATAAAGCGCTGAAGGTTTTCAATGAGTACCTTAGGTATAATGCTAAGTTCAGTATCCATTCTTTTGAAAAAATTTAATGGGCATTTTTAATCAGTTTAAAACGATATTCTTTGCTCAATTATTTTGTGTTTTATTGATGTTGAATAGTTGAACTCTTGCTTAGCTGTCCTCCGCGTAAATTAAAAATTGCCGAGTAGGTGATATATTTAGTATCACATGCACTTTTCTTTTATCCTTAAAGTTGAATCTGCTTTTATTATCAACTTGTATAGTTATCTAATGTGCTGACTAAACCTGCCCCGGAAAACCAGGAAAAGAACGTTAATAAATCAATCATTTTGCAGAAACAGTTAATGAATACTTGCAGTGTCTGTCAATCATGCACTGAGTAATCCATTTAATCCTACAGTTAGAACTGAAATATTCTGAATTTCCTTGTTTAAAACCCTTCATCTACCGAAAGCTAAATTTTTGGAGAATTCGTTAACTTTGAAGTAGGATTTATAGTCCTAAGCTTACAACAAGGCTGAGATAATGCCAGTTATTCAATAACTATCGCCTTTTTTCTCTGTGTTGAGTTAAGTCTCGAAAAATGCTAGTGGCACTGTCTTCATGCACTGAACTGCATTCTGTTCTGTTTCTCCGTATTAACGTAGCCCAGACTGAGATATTCCAGCACGTGTATCTGTGTATGATATAGAGTTAGCTAAAAATCATTGTAAACTGATATTAATTAGTGTCAGATATATGTGTATTGTTTAGTAGTATAACGTGTTCCAACGGGTGTTGTAGGGTTTTTTGGAATATGACTTCTGTCAGCTTCAATAGCTATCTGTACCAATTATTATCTAATGTCTAATGATTAGGTTGTTTTTGTAGAGATTGTTTTATACCTATCCTCACTGACGGGGGCCTTTTTGTTTAAAATTAATAGGATTCGTGAGATGTTCGTCTTCAAAGTGAACCTTTTCCTCTCAATAGTTATATTTATGTAATACAATTAATATTATTCAGTGCTTCTCACAGTGGGTAAAAAGTCGCATTCATATAATTTTGAGTATTTCTCGGTTAATACCTATTTGTGTAGTAAATTCCACTGCAAATAGTATATGTTTTTAATCCGTCGATGGGATCCAATATCTGTTGTTACACCAAAAACCAGCGGTTATTCTTTGTCGTCACCTATGAGGTGTTTCTGAGTGCCATAATCTTGGTACGTTCGACCAAAACACTATGTAATCCGACTAGATTATATTGTATTGTAACTCATTCGGTCAACATCTAAAGAGGCATATTTCCCATTACAGTAGTCATAGAAACTGTTTCCTTTCTTCGTAATCATAGTTAGGAGGAGAATTTTGTTGGCGAGTAGGGCTTTTCACTTCACTCAACTATCTAATGAACTGTTTGAACTCGCTTCATGTTTTATCGTAGTCTACCACTACTACCTGTAACTGTAACAGACTGAGCAGTTGTAGGATAGAAATACAGACCATATAAGAACCGCCTAGCAGTACTGACTTACGCTTTGTACTCACTATACCTAATAAGGAATGATTTAATGTACTTGAGTGTATATTAAAGTTCGTTTTATTCTTCATTTACAATATAACCACATAAAACTGTAAACAAAAATTGGATCGCATATTCTTGAAAGGTTTAATTTGATGCACAGTAGCTACTTTAATTGTTATCAAATATAATTTGCATGCTTGTGGTTGTCAACTAAAAGACAAGTTCATTTGATACCTTATTCGTCAGTATGTTGCGTATCACTAAAGCCAAGAATTTCATTCCATCAGTAACAGAAATGTGGGAAATACTAATTTACAATCACTGGTAGTATTCAGTGCATTTTGCTAAGATTTGTAGGATTGCAAGTGGAGTGGGCAGTTCCCCATTACTCTTCTTTATGTTTCCTATGATTCTTCATTAATAAATCTGCGTCATTTTGGAATTGCCCTAGACCTCAATGTACAGGAATAAATTAGTCTGTGGGTGGACCGTCGTCGACTGATGGCTACTCACTCCTAGAAAACGAACTATACATTTTTATTAACAGTTATGTGCCTAAAGGATTATTAAGAGCACGTATGTACAATCTAATATGATTTTTTTCTCCACTGTACTGTAGGTTGACTCAACAAATATGAAAGCACTCATTTTAGTCGGAGGCTATGGAACTCGATTGCGGCCATTAACATTGACCTATCCTAAACCGATAGTAGAATTCTGCAATAAGCCACTCTTACTACATCAAATTGAAGCGTTGGCCAAGGTAAGATTTCAGAATTTTAATAGACTCGTTTGTTTGTTTGAGAATCTTCAATTCACACAAAATTAGATACACTTTACACTTGACATGACTCGTTTTTACCAACTTGCTCATTCGGCGTGACAGGTCAAGTGGTACATCATGTAGGAACTGCTGCAAAAATGGTGAGAGATTTGTAGGTTAATGATCAAGGAATTCTGTCATAAAACCGAGTGGACTGTAGCAGGAAGTTTATTTATTCGGTATTCATCGTATCGTAAACTTGTTTTTGTTGCACCGATGCATCGATAATTAAATGTTATGTGACCTGAATTAACCTATTCAGTGTAAAAGATGTGTGTTAATTTTTTCATGCCGTATATGTAACTCAAATATTCAGTGTAACTGACTCTAAATTTTGTCAAGTGTTCCTCTTATATTCATCATAATAAAGGTTTTTGTATTTCCCAATGAATGAATGAAAAACAAAACGATATTGTTTTTACTGACGTTTCACCATTTAATGCTGCTGCTAATAGCTTTATCAAAGTATTATTAAATCGGAATTTACAAAATCTCAGTATATATATATATATATATATATATATATATATATATATAACAAAGAGTTAAAGGGTGAGAAAATAGACTTAGGTCAAGTTAAAAGGACCATATTGAAAGTCAAAATAACAATGAAGATCACTAAACCAAATAACACAGGTAATAGTACATCTGTTATGATATCAAAACAAAGTTTACTAACTTGGTCATCGTTCATCAGTCTGGGGTCATTTTTCGTTGCCAAGTTAGTCAATTAGTAAAGATAACAAAATCTAGTGTAGATTGTTGGGTTTGATAAGTGTGTAAAATTATAAAACAGCGTGTTTTTATATAATGATATTGCTTATCGTATTCGTGTTGATTTTTTCACATCATGGGGGAGCAGAGGGAGGTGTTGTAACCAGGTCGAATTCTGTTTTAGTTCATTATTCCTATTCATGCAATTTGGATTCCACTTGATATGAAGTGCTCATGATGAAATGAGATGTTCTTTGTGATTTCTGAAGTTTTTCTGGATGATGATTTCAATATTGTCCAAATCAATTTTGTGGCCTTATTCTATAGCGTGTAGACAAGCTATGGCTGATGATTTTTCAACTTTTTATAGTTCAACTGGATTTTTCGGTGGTCGAACAGATGCTCTACGGTATTCATTTCTTCTGATTTTTATTTCTCTCTGGCTGTCTTTGTCCGATGTATATCGCATCACATTCCAAGCATTTTACTTTATAGACACAATCAGATATAGAATCTTTAGAGATTTGTTCTTTTATATGGACAAGGTTTTTTGGTAGTGTGATAATTCGTCATTCTATCAAATGTTTCTCATATTTTCATAGGTTTATTTCCATCTACCACCCATAGCACAGTGAATAATAATAAAAGTTGGGAGATGTTATGTAAAATTCACATATCCACTAATTAGTCCCATTTTGTTAACATATTATTTCACGTTTAAGTATTACTTTAAAGGTATTTCGTGTCTCAGATTGTTTTCTCCCCTCGAGTTATAGAGGAATAATATGAGTTAAATATGATCAGACGAAGAGTATGTCTGAGACCAATCATTGTGTCTCGCATTTGGTTACAATCTAATATGCTATACCTCTACAACTACCTATTTAAGTGTATACAAAGGAATTAATCACTGTGCGTACACTTATTTTTTTTTAATTTTTCCAACTTTAGGTTGGCGTAAGAGAAGTTATCTTAGCTGTTAGTAAATGTGCTGACCGAAGTGATATCCTGGAAAAAGAATTATCAAAACATGAGAAAAAAGTAAGCATTTTATGCATTGTAACTACGAAAGTATTTTTGTTATTGAGAGTAATATTTAAGCATAAGCGAATATATATATATATATATATATATATATATAACCCTTAAATCGTCTCTTACAGTCTAGTAAAAGCATAAACGACACTTGCCTATAGACGTATTACTTCATTATCAAAGTGTTGGAGGGCAACATTTGATATTTGTGTAAATTCCAATGGATTTCACTATCCATCTTACTTGAAATAATTAGAATTAAGTGGTGGAGTTCTAAATAAGCTGTCAACATCACTCTTAATTACTGTTAGATGGTTGGAGGCAATCGATACGACGGAGCTATGGGCCTAGGTTTTGTACTTGTCGGTACCCAACAAACAGCCAGCAAGGCATATTTGTAATCCTGAAGAAACTCATGTCCCTTCTGAGATTTAAACCCGCGTCACCCAATGCTGTAGTCAGAGATGTTACCACCACTGAGGTATTCGGGCTTGCAACAGACCTCCTGTAAGACTGTATTGGATGCTAGTTAGTAACTACTGTAATGTGTCTGGTCCTTTGTTTGATGCTAACTGAATTCTGTCAGTCAAGTTTGCAATGTGACCACCATACCTCACTCCGTCTCTGTAAGTTTCTTTCGCAAGTTGCTAACTTTTAAGCTAGTGTAGTAAGCTGTATTTGATCTAATGTACTGTAGTTCAGCTAGATTTCATATCCTTATTTGAAACTGGCTACTTACTAGTAATAGGAATGTTTAACCTGTCCTTAAATTATGCTTATGTCATCTTTCGAACCTCATCTAGACCACTAGTCTAGCTGGGCTATTGAATTGCTAACTAAGCTACCTAGTTCTTCTTATTTTTTCTTAACTTGGAGGTTTGTTTTTTCAAAAAGTGACTGCTCACTCCATGGAATTTGATTTCTCATTGAAATATCTGTGTCGGTTGATCGCACAGCTTGTTTAGAGTACTTATTAAGCTTGTGTTCATTTGAGGATCTTCCTGCCGGTTGTGAGCCGGCTCATGGCAAGTCGGGATGTACAGTTTTTCGAGTCAACGCTTACTAATCCTCCCCTCCACAATGGGAGGTGGAGGTGTAGCGTAGCTGACTTTCTGGTTGTCTTTGAGGGGAACGCCTTACTGTTTTTCCACATCTCTTTGTTTACCAACTTCTGTACAACTTCTTCAACAGTTTCTCAAAATAGTATCAGCGAATTACATTGCTTTCAGTTTTACCACTATCCAAACGATCTTTCTGGGATAGTAAAACCTATAAGAACATTCAATCTTTGGTTGGACGCTCTGTGGTAACTGGTGTCATGCTGCCTTCTAGTCTTCGGTTTTGGCGCAGACTGAAATGTGTCACTCAGGTTTGCAATGTGGCCACTATGCTAGATGGCTCACCATCATGTTGTATTATGAATTATTGTTGTTAGACGGTTGGAAGCAATCTGTTGTAAGTCTTGAATCTAAGTTTCGTGCTTTTTGGCACTCGTCAGCGAGGCGTATCTTCAGTCCAACCACTGTGCCTTATTAGGTGTGGCCACCATGTCAAGGTGACAGCTGTTAGTCTGGCGAAAGTGTTAGCGTTCAGCTGAACGTTAACAGAAAGCCATCTCAGTTAGGTTTAAGACCATGGAATGTTCACAGTTGTAATTTGAACTGTGAATTGTAAAGTCATTATACAAACATTAACTCACATGTTTTATTTAATCTTTCCTCTTTTTTAATTCTTAGATTGGTATTAAGATAACTTTCTCTTATGAAACTGAGGCAATGGGAACTGGTAAGTGAATTTTTCGCATTCGGATAATTTGAAAACACTTCACTTTTCAAATTACCTCATATAATTGGCCTATTCAAAGTCGTTTAATTGATCTCCATTTATCCAATAATTCGCTATGCACTGCAATGTATTACCTGATAGTGTTAGTGACAGATTAACTGTCTACATAAACTACTAGTAGTTCAAATAGAACCTCATTTGACTAAAATGATATAAAGCAAAGCAATTAGGTACGCTTTGCCTAGTGGAATTCCGACGACCCACTTGCCGCCTGGTTCCACTCGAGAGCCTGACGTGCGCGCGATGTCACCCAGCGGCCTCCTCAGCGAGTGTCCAATCCATCTCCACTCCATCTGTCTGTCTGCCTGTTTTCGACATAGAATTTTGCACAAATGTGCGGAAGTTCAAGTCGCCACACTCCGTGTAGCACGCGAAGCAAGAGAAGAAAGTACAAGAAAAGCATAATAGAAACAGTGAGCAGAGGTGTGAGACAAAGGAGTAATAAAGAAATACAAAACAGTTTCATTGAAGGTCATAAGTCACAGGGAGTGGATGCATCTGCACTAGCCACTGAGAACGGTTTTGAGCCATGTCACCAATTGTTTCCAACCATAGACTTTTGCCGTCCCGAGGACCCCAGCCTGGAAGTCTACACCTTTCTACGTGGCTTAGACCAACTGTTGTGGATTTCATTGACTGGTGAGGCCAAGTTTTTGTTTGACCGCCGCTAGCTTTTTTCCAGCCTGACCCTATATCCGCTAACATTGCTCCATCTCCTGCATATATGTTTATTGGCGATTGGTTCTTGTTTTGTTTGTTCACATAGTTTCTTTTTGGTGATTGTTTTTGGCCCGGCCATCTGATCTTCAGTATAGAGGGAATACAGTTGTTGATAAAGGTCTGCAACCTGTTGTAAATACATTAGACGATTCAGACAAATTACGTCTCCTTATTGCTTTATCTAAATTTCGTAGTTTGTCATGTAAAATTTACAATTCTAATTGTACATTTTTGGAAATATTTCTTTTGCTGCTAAGAGAATTTACCGTACTTATATGCGATTGTACAGCTTGAGGAATGAATGATATTGCCTGAAAAGATGAGGAGTAACCTCTTCGCTGAAATGTCGTTTCTTTATTGTCTTTTTATTTCTCTGTTACTTTTGTAGCTGGTCCAATCGCTTTAGCTAAAGATATGCTACTTGTTGATAACAATCCATTTTTTGTACTCAATAGTGATGTGATGTGTGAGTTCCCTTTCAAAGCAATTATTGATTTTCATAAAAGTCATGGAAAAGAAGGCACAATTTTGGTGAGTTTTATTTTGAATTAATGGATTGATTATAATAATAGAAAACGTTTATCGTTTCCCAACACTGTCGTTCTTTAGACAACTTCTATTTGTTTAATTCGTTCATTCGCCAATTTGAAAGGCTGGATAAAAGAGCTAGTCCTGACTTTATCAGGCAATAAGAAATCCCCAACAGTTCAGTTAAGCCATCTAGGTAGGGAGGTGTAGACTTTCTGATTGGTTGGCGTCCTCGGGATGTTAAAAACTGATGACGACTGGAGACAATTGGTGATATGGATCAAGCTCATCGTTCTCGGTGATGGCTGGTGCAGATGCATTCACTCTTTGTGTTTTATAATATCCAATAAAACTATTTTTCTATTTCCTTCGCACTTTTGTTGATTATCTCCGTTTTGAATCTCTTTTAACCTCTCTTCTCTTGTTTTAGTCTGTTACATGGAGAGAGAGTGGCAACTGGAACTGTTGTGTACATCTGTGCGAAGCAGTTCTACGTCGAAGCCAGTCAATCACTCGGTCATTGGTTTATGAAATCCATAGGTTTCTATTAACCTATGCTCTATATATGCCCAAACCAAGTTCACTTTTAACAGTTTGAAAAAAATTTGGACATCGGGTATATGATATTCATTATAAGAAAGGCTTTTTTCCCAATGAACGAATGAAAAACAAAACGATATTGTTGTTTTTACTGAAGTTCCACTATTTAATGCTAATAGCTTTATCAAAGTATTATTAAACAGAAATTTACAAAATCCACTCAGCTTATATATAACAAAGAGTTAAGAGGTGAGAAAATAGGCTTAGGTCAAGTTAAAGGGACAAATTGAAAGCTAAAATAACAATGAAGATCACTAAATCAAATCAAAAAGGTACATCTGTTATGATATCAAAACAAAGTTTACTAACTTGATCATCGTTCGTCAGTCTGGGGTCATTTTTGGTTGTCAAGTTGGTCAATTGGTAAAGATAACAAAACCAGGTAGGTGTAGATGACTGTTGGATTTGATCAGTGTGTAAAATTATTAAAGTAGTGTGTGTGTTTCAGGATTTCATCATGAACTGACATTAGTTAGAGAACCATTGGAAAACCTTCCAGGGAGTACTGGACAGCTGTTTCGTCCTAGTTTGGGACTCTTCAGCAGTACGCACCCACCGGGATTCGAACCCAGGACCTTCCGGTTACAAGGCGAGCTCGTAGACCATTGAGCCACTGGGACCCGATCCAATGGTCCTTGAATTCTAACTTCTAATGGTATACGAGCTCGCCTTGTAACCGGAAGGTCCTGGGTTCGAATCCCGGTGGGTGCGTGCGGCTGAAGAGTCCCAAACTAGGACGAAACAGCTGTCCAGTACTCCCAGTTGGTTTTCCAATGGTTCTCTAACTAATGTCAGCTCATGATGAAATCCTGAAACCAATCAAATCCCTACAAACTAACACTTGAATAGTGTGTGTGTGTGTGTTAACGTAGTGAACTTGCTTATCACACTCGTGTTGATTTTGTCACTTCATGGGGGAGGGGAGGGAGGTGTTGTAACCAGGTCAGATTTTGTTTTAGTTCACGATTCCTACTCAGACATTTTGGATTCCACTTGATATAAAGTACTTCTGATGATATTAGACGTTCTTTGTGATTTCTGAAATGCTTTTTCTGGATGATGATTTCAATATTGTCCAAGTCAATTTTGTGGCCTTATTCTATAGCGTGTAGACAAGCTATGGCTGATGATTTTTCTCCAACCTTTTCTAGTTTAACCGAATTTTTCGGTCTATTTTCTCACCCCTTAACTTTTTGTTATATATAAGCTGAGTGGATTTTGTAAATTCTGATTTAATAATAATACTTTGATAAAGCGATTAGCACCATTAAATAGCGAAACGTCAATAAAAACAATATCGTTTTGTTTTTCATTCATTGGGAAATACAAGAGAACCCTTATTATAATGAACCTGTACTTTGTTTATGCATAAAAAGATTGACTGAAATTTCATTATAGAATTATGCACGAAAGTACACCAGTTCAGGTGGCTAGACTCCATTAAAGCACAGATGTGAATGTCCCAAGTGAACAAAATGCACAGGAACTCTATATAATGGACTGTAATGTACTACAGGAGAAAGAATTATTATATGTGGAGAATAATAAGAATTTAAGGATTCTGAAGGATCACAGAAAGTGTTATCACATTTTCAAGCATTGATTTGTAGGGATTTGATCATTTGGTTACAGAATTTCATCGTGAACTGACATCGGTTAAAGAACCATTGGAAAACCACCTGGGAGTACTGGATAGCCCGCTGTTTCATCAGCCTAGTTCGGGACTCTTCATCACCAGGCACCAACCGCCAGGGTGCGAGCCCAGGACCTCCTGGTTACAAGGTTAGAGAGCTCGTAGGCCATTAAGCCACTGAAACCCGATCCAGTGGCTGACCCACCAACTCCAACTTCTGCGCGATCACTGGTCACGCCCGACTTGCTGAACCCTAGTGGTCACGACTTCCCACTAGAACCCCAGGTAACTATCACACTTGTATACTACTATGGACAATTTCGAGAGATGTTACCAACACTGTTCTGTAGCCATTGATTTTCACTGCCTCAAGTCCCGTGCAACCTGCAGTCTACACTTCTTTACGGTTCCTGAACCAATAGTGAAAGGTGCCATAGATTAATGCCATATTTTAATTTGACCACCTTTAACTTTTTTTCTAACCTAATTCTCTGTCACCATCTATCTGTAAGCAATGGAAATCGAAAATTCATGTGAAACACGTATGCATCTTTAAAAAGAGTCGACGTAATTCGTGTGACAATCATAGGGGTATCAGTCTGCTACCAGTCGCGTCTAAAATATTGGCTGCTGTCTTGATTCACAGGCTGTGCAAAATACGTGAGGGATTGATTCGCGAAGAGGAGACTAGGTTTCGTTCAGGTCGTGGATGCATTGGTCATGTGTTCACCCTTCGTCAGTTGTTGGAACACCGACACACGTATTGCAGGCCAACGATCTTTGTGTTTCTTGATATTAGGGCTACCTTCGATTCGTTGGACAGAACTGTGCTCTGGAACTGTCTCTTAGAGAGTGGTGTACCTGAGGAATTTGTTAACATCTTGAAGGCCGTATACAGAAACACCTCGGGTAGAGGGAGGGCATACAACCAACTATCATCACTGTTCCCAACCAACAGTGAGGTTAGACAGGGTTGCCCAATCTCCTCATTTCTCTTCAACTTTGCCATCGATGACATTCTGGAGTCAGCTCTGAAGGATGTGTGTGAAGGTGGTGTAGATCTGCTACCTGGAGATAGACTTTTTGACCTTGAGTATGCAGACGATATCATCTTACTGTGCGATAGCATGCAGGCTGCCCAAATCGCACTTAATCAGTTGGCGATCAGTGTCTGTAGGTATGGTATGTGCTTTGAGCTGTCTAAGTGCAAAGTACTGTTACAAGATTGGTAGGAGCCTGTACCTGCACTTACTCTTGCTTGCAGGTGAACCCCTTGAAGTTGTTGATAAGTAGTTGTGTGAGTGCTGGCGGTGGGATGACGGATGAGATTTCCAACCCTATAATGAAGGCTAGGGTGGCATACATCAACCTGAGCCACCTATGGCGCCGTCGCGACGTTAGCCTAGCTGTCAAAGGTCGGGTATACAATGCTTCGGTGCGGGGTGCCCTGCTCTATGCCTGTGAAACCTGGCCTCTCCGGGTAAGCTGAGGATGTTCGGCGACTCTGTGTGTTTGATCATCACTGTCTCCGCAGGATTGCTTGCATTCGATGGCATTGTCGCGTGAGTAATTCCGTGGTTCGGCGGCGTGTATTTGAACACAGTGGAGATCACCATTCATTGAGTGTCAGTGGCTTGGACATGTGGTGCGAATGTCATCCTAGAGGCTTCCGTACAGCCCTGGGACGGGATGGAAAAGGCGCTTTACAACTAGCGTGGTTCACAATAATAAAATAAAATGTATGCCAGTTACTCAGCACAGCAATAGAAATATGCTCAATCGGCATGAAATCTTTATTCACCAATCTTTATTCCACTTTATGAAACTATTGATTTCATTTGTGGTGGTTACACTACAAGCAGTGACGTACCTATGAGTTACCTATTCTTGTCAACTTATATTAGAGATATTATCTTACCATGTAGAGAAAAGATCAGGGGTACTTTCCAAGGAATCCATTATCATCCATTTGCTAAGCACTTGTTAATATTACCAGGTCATAAAATATATATGTATATATATTAATGACTGCTTCACAACAGTGCATCACATAACTCTAATTCAAGGTTGATTTATTTAAAGTAATGGAAGCTCCTTGGAATCATCATCACACACACATACCTACATACTAAACTATGTGTACAAAACAAACAATGGACCTCCGCCTACTATGATAGACTACTTGACCTATTTAGAAATATGATTAGTCATTAGCATGTACTTTTGTTTTATTTATATATAACTGAGTAATTTTATTATTGTGAACCCACGCTAATTGTAAAGCGATTTTGTAGAGAAACTAAAATGTCTTATTCAAAGATAAATAAAGTGCCAAGTATTATTTATACCATAAGCCATCCATCAAACTTGGTTATTCCTTTGCATTCCGAGTGGTGGAACCCGCCCCGCCCCCCGCTTCATAGGGTTTCAAGCTTTAACCTTGAAGTTTGAGTAGCGATGGTATGCTGTTGTCTTTTACGGAGTAAGGTAGCTAGAATTACGCCCAACCTTTTCTAATTACTATCGATTAGACAAGGTGTAGGAGTTTTTCGGCTGAGAAATTGAACCCTGGACTACCACCATCCATATGGTGGTGGTTAGAAAATATTCCACCACTGAACCGAACCACTAGCGCATGGTATAAAAGATAATGGAAATAAGCCTTTTGTACGCATCCCTCATCTATTCCTGTTATGTTAGATGTTGTGCGTTAGAATCGTAGTGAAAAGTGCACTTTTTGGATTCAATATGTTAAATTCAGCATTGGTTA